TGTCACAGCTCACAGCAACCTCAAACTCTTGGGCTTAAGCAATTCTCTTGCCTCAGCCTCCCAAGTAGCTGGGACTACAGGCGCCCACCACAATGCCCGGCTATTTTTTTGTTACAGTTGTCATTGTTGTTTGGCACATCTGGGCTGGATTAGAACCCGCCAGTTCTGGTGCATGTGGCTGGCACCTTAGCCACTTGAGCTACAGGCGCCAAGCCTATTGATTTTCTTTTCTTGTAACAAAGTTAAAAGCTCCTGAAGACTAGGGAATGTTTTCTTTATGGAAAACATGGTATCTTTAACTTTGCATTCCTGATAATTGGTACTCTGGACTTTATGAATGACTTTTCTGATGATTCTAAAATTAGTTATTATTTCAGTTGGGATTTTACATTTAGCAGTGCATTAAGGTGGCTATTCTAAATGAAAAGGTTTAGTGAAGGGTCATGTTTGTGTTTGAATTTTTGTTTATTCTAGTTCTTCTACTTTGCTTCTGGTTGTACTATAACAACGAGTTGCATTTATTTGTATCACTTGTTAGGAGGCTTTTGTAATGAAACAACTTTTTGCTTTATTCCCTTTTTTTGCAGCGGATAGTGAAGACAGTACTGTGTCGATCCAGATAAAGTTAGAAAATGAAGGCAGTGATGAAGATATTGAAACTGATGTACTCTATAGTCCACAGATGGCTCTAAAACTAGCTTTAACAGAATGGTTGCAGGAGTTTGGTGTACCTCATCAGTATAGCAGTAAGTTTGGGCATTTTTTGTAAGGGGGTTGGATCACATGGTTAAGTCAAAGTAAAGGACACTGCTGTGATGAGCCTTACCTTAAGCACTTTAACCAAAGCAAAATTAAATTGTTATTTATTTATTTTTTATTTTTTTGAGACAGAGTCTCACTATGTCACCTTTGGTAGAGCGCTGCAGTGTCACAGCTCACAGCAACCTCAAACTTCTTGGGCTCAAGCGATTCACTTGCCTCAGCCTCCTGAGTAGCTAGGACTACAGGTGCCCACCACAATACCTGGCTATTTTTTGTTATAGCAGGCCCTGGCTAGGTTTGAACCCACCAGCCTTAGTGCATGTGGTTGGTGCCCTAACCATTGCGCTACAGGTGCTGAGCCTAAAGTGAAATTAAATGAAATATAGGGAGCTAGAGAGTAAGGTTTTAAACATTTTACCTTTTGGTCTTCAGTAGATTTTATCTTGATAGAAGTCTAATAGGTCTTTAAAATATTTTTTTGGAAAAAATTGTGTTTTTTTTAGAGTCTCACTTTGTCACCCTTGGTAGAGTGCTGTGGTGTCACAGCTCACAGCAACCTCTAGCTCTTGGGCTCAGGTGATTCTCTTGCCTCAGCCTCCCAAGTAGCTGGGACTACAGGCGCCCTCCACAGTGCCTGGCTCTTGTTTTGTTGCAGTTTGGCTGGGGCAGGGTTTAAACCTGCCACCCTCAGTATATGGGGCCGGTGCCCTACTCACTGAGCCACGGGCACTGCCCTGTTTTCATTTTATTCTTTTTTTTGGGACAGTCTCATGTCACCCTTGTTAGAGTGCGGTGGTGTCACAGCTCACAGCAACCTCAAACTCTGGGCTTAAGCGATTCTCTTGCCTCAGCCTCCCAAGTAGCTAAGACTACAGGTGCCCGCCGCAACGCCTAGCTATTTTTTTATTGTAGTTGTCGTTTTAGCAGGCCCAGGCGTGTTCAAACCTGCCAGCCTCAGTGTATGTGGCTGACGCCCTAACCACTGAGCTTTGGGCACCAACCCATACATAAAAATTTGTTTTAAACATGGGGTCTCATTCTATTGAGACATAATGGACTGGAGGAGTGCAGTGGCATGATCATAGCTCACTATAGCCTAGAACTCCTGGGCCCAAGCAGTCCTCTCACCTGAGCCTCCTGAGAAGCTGTAAGTACAAGCACTCCCCACCACACCCAGCTAATTTTTTATTTTTTTGTAGAGATAGGGTCTCACTATATTGCCCAGGCTGGTTTTGAACTCTGGTCTCAAGAGATCCTTCTACCTCAGCCTCTCAAAGTGCTGGGATTGTAAGTGTGAACCACTGTGACTGAGGGGTTTGTTTGTTTGTTTGTTTTTGAGACAAATCTCACAGTGTCTCCCTGGCTAGAGTGTTCTGGCATCATAGCTCACAGCAGCCTCAAACTCTGGGCTCAGGCTATCCTCTTGCCTCAGCCTCCTGAGTAGCTGGGACTGCAGGCCATCATGCCTGGCTAATTTTTCTATTTTTAGTAGAGATGGGGTCTCACTCTTGGTAGGGCTGATCTCAACTTCTAAGCTCAGGCAGTACTGCCACTTCAGCCTCCCAGAGTACTAGGATTACAGGTATGAGCCACTGTGCCCAGCCTATGCCTTAAGTGTTTTTCAGTGTAAATATTCAGAAGAGAATGTAATAACAGATTGACATGTTAGGGATATTTATTACCTTTTTTGCCCTTCCCTTCTTCTTTCCTACTACCTCCCTGATAATTTAGAACAGTTTCATTTTTTTTAGGACTTAAATTATTTGGAGTCTCAAAATGAAGTTCCAATTTATAGGTGTGATAAAAACAGCATTTTTCTAAATCTAATTTATTCTCTAATTTTGATTATTTTTATGACTGTTTTATTTTTGTAGGTAGGCAAGTTGCACACAGTGGAGCTAAAGCAAGTGTAGTGGATGGGACTCCCCTAGTTGCAGCACCCTCTTTAAATGCCACAACAGTAGTAACAACAGTTTACCAGGACCCCATTATGAGCCAGGGAGCAGCCTTGAGTGGTGAGCCTACAGCTTTGACCAAGGAAGAAGAAAAGAAACAACCTGATGAAGAACCCATGGACATGGTAGTGGAAAAACAAGAAGAAACGGACCACAAGAATGACAATCAAATACTGAGTGAAATTGTGGAAGCTAAAATGGCAGAGGAATTGAAACCAATGGACACTGATAAAGAGAGCATAGCTGAATCAAAATCCCCAGAGATGTCTATGCAGGAAGATTGTATTAATGATATTGCACCTATGCAGACTGATGAACAGACAAACAAGGAGCAGTTTGTGCCAGGTCCAAATGAAAAGCCATTGTACACTGCAGAACCAGTCACTCTGGAGGATTTACAGTTACTTGCTGATCTGTTCTACCTTCCTTATGAACATGGACCCAAAGGAGCACAGATGTTACGGGAATTCCAGTGGCTTAGAGCAAATAGCAGTGTTGTCAGTGTCAACTGCAAAGGAAAAGACTCTGAAAAAGTGAGTGTGCTTAATTTATCTGATTCTTATAAAAATAAGAAAAAAAATTATCTGATTCTTTAGCCTGGATGGTTCCCATACTGATAATTTGTTCTTTAGTAAGTATACTAGTAACTGACAGAAAATTGACCACATTTTAAAATACATTTATTGGGGCAGTGCTTGTGGCTCAGTGGGTAGGGTGGCGGGTTCAAACGCGGCCAAACTGCAACAAAAAATAGCCAGGCATTGTGGCGGACACCTATAGTCCTAGCTACTCGGGAAGCTGAGACAAGAGAATCACCTAATCCCAGGATTTGGAGGTTGCTGTGAGCTGTGACTCCATAGCACCCTACCAAGGGCGATAAAGTGAGACTCTGTCTCAAAAAAAAAAATATGTTCTATTGGCTCTGCGCCTGTAGCATAGTAGTTACAGCACCAGCCACATGCACTGTGGCTGGCAGGTTCAAACCCAGTCTGGGCCAGCTAAACAACAGTGACAACTGCAATAAAAAAACTAGCTGACCATATGGCGGGCGCCTGTAGTCCCAGCTACTTGGGAGGCTGAGGCAAGAGAATCGCTTAAGCCCCAAGGGTTGGGGGTTGCTGTGAGCTGTGACGCCACAGCACTCTACCAAGGGTGACATAGTAAGACTCTGTCGCAAAAAAAAAAAAAAAAAAAGAATAAAATAGGTTTTATAAAGTGGATGTGGACTCTGTTGAGTCTGGTACATTCAGTTCCATAATTTGGCCTAATTTAGAATGATAGAAAGTCAATTTTGATTGTTTGAGGAATGTTTATCAGTTTGGGGAGACACAAAATGATGATAGGCTACAATAAATTGGCGCTACCTTATAAACAGCTTAATTTTTAACTATGTCTTCTATTTTGTTAAGCTTGCAGTTTTTTTGAGTCTTTTTGTTGATCCTCACTAGATTGAAGAATGGCGGTCACGAGCAGCGAAGTTTGAAGAGATGTGTGGACTAGTGATGGGAATGTTCACTCGGCTCTCCAATTGTGCCAACAGGACAATCCTTTATGACATGTACTCCTATGTTTGGGATATCAAGAGTATAATGTCTATGGTGAAGTCTTTTGTACAGTGGTTAGGTAGGTGCACCAGGAATAATCTCTTCTTATATATTGTCCCTTGGAAAAAAAAATTATCCCACAGGGAGAAAAACCTTTAGAGAATTGGCAGATTTCCAGAACTTTTTCAATTCTGTGCCTAGTTTTCTTTAAAAAGCAGGCATTGTTAAAGACTTGAAATACAAGTCTCAGTGATTACATGAGTAATTTTTCTCCCTTGGGCTAATTCAGTATAAATATCTTGAAAATATTTTAGTAAGTACTGACTTTAACTTGCGCTGACTGAATGCTTTCTGGATGGAACCCTGAATACCACTTTTACCCAATTTGGAGATGAGACACTGTGAAATGTGACTCTGTAAGCTTTTTGCTGCTTGCTGTGTTTTGATAACATTAATGCTGATTTTAACAGAACAATTGCTGAAATGATCTAAGGGGCCTGGCAAGAGGAAGCCATCCTCCCAGCCCTGTGCGCATGCGAGCTCTAGTGGATGGCTATTCTGGTGCTACTCAGTATTATTTCACAAGGCTTTTTCTTTATCCTTCTACCAAGTAATTGGTTTTACCTGGGGGTAGATATTGCATTCCCCTAAAAACTGTTTCATTAAATGGATATATGTCTTTGAAACTGAATTTTTTTTTTTTTTTTTAATTCTCAAACTTGGTAAAAGCACCAGCATGGCCAAGATTCTCCAGGGACCTCATTTCATTTCCAGGTTTTCAATCCAGCTGTAAGGAATATGTAATGGACTATATATAGCACACAGCAGGCAACAAGGCTGACTGACTTGTCATAGTATTCATAGTTGTCACAAATAACTATGATATGGGTTTCATGGTCTTGGTTATGAAATAGATTACTAAAACACTGTGAGCTTAGACTAATGAGTAGTAGTGAGAGTTCTCACTTTATACCTACATACGTTTGGGTTCTTAAATATTAAACAACAGTTTTCCTGTGACACACCTAATTAGTCTTAAAAGCAGAATCTGATTTTAATTTGAAAATTATAACTTTCTTTGGATATATATTGATATAGCCCAACAGGCACACATAGGAGAGAGAATTTTGACCCTCCTATTAAAAGGCTCCTAGGTACCTCTTGTGTAGGTAGGAGATATCTGCCCTTTGACTCAGGAGAAACTTCTAATTTGGTTGTTGGATGACAGCGTTTGTCTTCCAGGCTTCTGACCTGGAAGGTCAGGTAGTTATATTTAATCTTACAGGAATTTAAACTTTAAATTTCCAAGGCCCTGGTGGCACCTGTGGCTCAGTGAGTAGGGTGCTGGCTCCATATACCAAGGGTGGCGGGTTCGAACCCAGCCCCAGCCAAATTGCAACAACAAAAAAATAGCCAGGAATTGTGGCAGGCGTCCATAGTCCCAGCTACTTGGGAAACTGAGGCAAGAGAATTGTCTAAGCCCAAGAGCTAGAGGTTGCTGAGCTGTGATGCCATGGCACTCTACTGAGGGTGACAAAGTGAGACTCTGTCTCTAAAAAAAAATTTTCCAAGGCCCTTAGGAATTTTGAATCTGAAATCTAAATTATTGAATTAAAATAGTATCACTGACAACATTTGATGTTCAAGTTTGAATTCAAGAATCATTAAAAATTAAATTCTTATTTATATACAATATTGTTTCTTAGGTTTTATCTCTGTACTAAGCAATTATATGGGTAGCTTTCCCAAATGTATAGATAGCTTTTGTATAATCCCAAGGACAGAGAAGCTTAGAAATTTTATCTTGCCTTCCACATAGCTTTACAAGAGCTCACAACAGGGAGAGTATTTTCTTGGTTCTTTAGTAATTTCAGGGGGTGATTGATTAGAACCCTTCATTTTCCTCCTCTCTCCAATCCAGCTGGCATTCAGTCCTTTAAAGAATGTGGCTATGCAGTACTTTTGATTACTAACGACTTGTATTATCTTCTTCCCCATTGTGTACAGATGGGAGAATCCTCAGCACAAGTGTCTACTACTATTGGATGGACAGCGGCAGATGTTCACAGCGCGTCATGATTAATTAGCTTTAAATTGAAAGATTCTATCTGTGAGGTAGCTCAGGTAGATTCAAGGGCAGTAGGCATGAACTGAAGTCACGTTTGCGCAGCGACTGAGGCATTAACCATGTTTTCATTTACACAGCTCTTCGTACATGCAGCTTTTTATTGTAATAGTTGGAAGTGCTAGTTATGTTGTAGTCTCAAAGTGGGGGGTAGGGGAAATTGGCTGATCTTAAAGTTTAAGAGTTATAGTTTTTTCCTACAGTGTAAATTACACTGAGTTATGTATGGAATGGGGTACTTTCTATTCATAGTCTAAATTTTGACCCTATTTCATATTTATTTTACAAATATTACATTTTATGTTTAAAAAAATACCCCTACCCTAAAAAAGTGACAAACCCATATGTAATCTCTTAAAGGACCTCAATTATCAACAAAAATTAATTTGCTTTGGGACTGTCTGACTAGCACACTATATCTTGTACTGATGAGACTGTTAACTTGAACAGGAGGTAGAATGCTGTCTTCCAATGGAAAAGAACTATGTTGCGCTGCTTTATCTTGTCAGAAGACTAGGCAGACAGTTTTGGCCTCTAAACATTTTCCCTTAATAATCTCTTATTGTTAGCTGGCTTTATTGTCTATGAAGTTGGTTAAATGGTGACCTTAAAAACTGACCTCTTGACCTCAAAGCCTGCCGTTCCAACCACATATTAAGTGCATTGCAAAGATTATGATGGCTAATCAGAGGAGTCTGATGCTGTCATACTTTTAAGAAAAGTATGGATAAATTAGGAGCACCAGTTGGCTCTCCTTGGAGCTCCCGTTCTATCAGAGTGGTATGACTAACCACATCTGGATTTGGATTATCTTTGTCCAAATAAATAAAGTTATTCTCTCTTGTTTTGTCAACTTAATAACAATTTCTTTTATTCTGCTGGCTTTAGTTTTCTGACAAGATTAATCCCCCCCCCTCCCCTTTTCCCTTTCCTGTATCCTTCCTAAAAATGTAAAATGTGACTTCAGACAGGTTTAATTCCTTCATGGGCTGTGATAATAAAATGTCTCATTTATCATTCATTTCAGTTTATATAGTTACTGTAATTTCATGATAGAGCAAGCAACTTGCTTGATTTGTATAGCTGTATCCAGGGCAATGTGTAAACATGCAGATTTGGGACTGACTTTCCTTCCAATAATTGAAGAATAGAACTAATAACAATGATTATTAATTAACCTGAGTAAGGAATATGAGTATGCTATTATGAATTTTTAGAAGTAATTATTATCACAGCCTTGCCCTAAAACCCTGGATTATTGTTAGAGAGCTATTTCCACAAAGTGTTTGTTAGTTTGTTGGACATTTGAGACCTCAGGAAATCCCCTTTCTCGTAACGTTCTCCGCTTGGATCTGATCTCAACAGGGTGTCGTAGTCATTCTTCAGCACAGTTCTTAATTGGAGACCAAGAACCCTGGGCCTTTAGAGGTGGTCTAGCAGGAGAGTTCCAGGTATCAATATGAATTCACAACTGAATTGACATTTTCTTTGTTTTATGAGAAACCTTATGTTGCGCATCAGATGGCTGGAAGGATTGGTCTGCCGAAGGCTTTCTAGTCCCAAATTCAATTTAGTTACATAGCTGAATTTTAAATCAGATTTTCCTCCTCTTTCACAGTAATTTCTGAAGGAGATGCTGCCAATCCCCCCCGCGCCTGCGAAGCGCAGCGGCTCTAGGTATACACTTCACATTGTTTCTTTGCAGGTCGCACAGCATTTAAATCTGCGCCCGCAATGCACAATGCGCGCATGCTTGTCTACCAGTGGAAACTCCATGAGCAAAAATGATAATTATGCAAGTGAATGGTAAAGGTGGTTTTGGATATTCAGTTATTTTTATAAATATAATTTGTACTTAAAAGATAGCACATTAGTGAACTTCTTTTTTTTTTTTAGATAAAGTTTCACTCTGTCGCCCTCATAGAAAGCCATGGCATCATAGCTCACAGCAACCTCAAACTTTTGGGCTCAAGCTATCTTGCCTCAGCCTCCCAGGTAGCTGCAACTACAGGCATCTGCCACAATGCCTGGCTAATTTTAGAGATGGGATTCTTGCTCTTGCTCAGGCTGGTCTTCAACTTCTGAGCTCAAGCAGTCCACCCGCCTCAGCCTTCCACAGTACTAACATTATAGGCATGAGCCACTGCACCCGGCCTCATTAACGAACATTTGAATAAAATAATGAAGGTTCTTTGCTATTGGAATTTGTTCATGGACTTTCCAGGTGCTCTACTTTTCTCCCCCCAACAGGTGCTCTGCTGCGCACAGCAAACTGAAGCGCATTGCTTTGGGGATAAAGCGTCTCCTGGACAGATAACCCTCTTCAGACCAAACCTCTCCTCCTGACATTCTGTTCTGCCATCTTTTAGTAGAGAGATGGTATATATAAGATAGGTTTTTAAAAAATAAAAGATTTGTCATAATTGGAATAGGTTTGTTTTTATTTTGATTTTGGTTTTGGTTTTTACTGTAAATTTAAATCCCCGTTAATATGCTACTAAAGCTGTGTAAGTCAGTTTGGGTAATTTCTATTCAGAAGCACCCTCCCCCAGCAGAGGTGTTTATATTAGTAAAGCATAGTACATCCCTCTTCTTCAGGTCTGCCTGCAGAAGCCAGTTAATGTTAAGTTGGTAATCTGCAGTGCATACCCATTTAAAGTAATGGATGGCTACTCAACACTAATCCATCTCCTTTTTTTTCTTCCTACAGCGTTTGCTGCCAATTGATGGGGCAAATGATCTCTTTTTTCAACCACCCCCACTGACTCCTACCTCCAAAGTTTATACTATCAGACCATATTTTCCTAAAGATGAGGTAATTACCTATCTACTAATTTAATATATAGTTATGGTCTATACACTTAGAACTTAACGTTGAACTCACTGGCTAAAAGACTCTGTTCTGTAAATGATCTTTAAATGAAGAAAATTAAAACATTAACACAAGAGGGGGAAACAATAGAGAATTTGAGGAACAATCTAAGGAGTTTACTAATATCTTGGGTCAAATTCTTTAATTCTTGCCTTTAAAAAGTAAGATGAAGTCGAGTGCAGTGGCTCATGCTTGTAATCCTGGTATTTTGGGAGGTGAGAGAATCACTTGAGCCCAGTGGTTCCAGACCAGCCTGAGCAACAAGGCAAGATCCTGTGTCTCTGTTAAAAAATAGAAAAACTTAACCGGGTGTCATAGTGTGGGTCTGCAGTCCCAGCTATTAGGAAGAGTGAGACAGGAGGATCACTTGAGCCCAGCGGTTTGAGGTTGCAGAGAGCTTTATGATACCACTATGCTCTAGCCCGGGCATCAGAGGGAGATACTGTCTCAAAAATAAAAAGTCAGGGCTGGGGCTCGGTGCCTGTAGTTCAGCAGCTAGGGCGCCAGCCATATACACTGGAGCTGGCAGATTTGAATCCAGCCCGGGCCTGCCAAACAACAATGACAACTACAACCAAAAATTGGCTGGGCGTTGTGGCAGGTGCCTGTAGTTCTAGCTACTTGGGTAGGCTGAGGCAAGAGAATCAGTTAAGCCTAAGAGTTTGAGGTTGTTGTGAGCTTTGATAGTCATAGCGCTCTACTGAGGGTGATGTAGTGAGATTCCATCTCAAAGAAAAGTCAGATGAAATGTATTCAGAATTGAAATTACAAAACAGTTAAGGGTCTAAATGATGTTATTGTCCTTAATTTCCAATACAGTGTATTATGTAATTTTCAGTTGTGAAATACCTACAGACTGTTGACAGCTACAGAGGAAACTGCCCAGTTTAAAGACAGTAACAAGTTTAAAACATTTTTTAAAAGTATTCTTAACATATAAGAAGTCATTGAGAGACTGTCAGCCTCAAAATTTGCTGGCCTTGGAATGTACAACTTATTACCAAAAGGCATCCCATACAAAACAACTGTCAGTGTTTACTAAAGCCTTGCTATTTTCTCTTAGTTTTACAAATCTAACTCAATGAATACATACTTATTTAACAAAGCAAGAGATGGTATTTCTGACAGGCCTGGCATTTTGTTACTTCCTCTCTAGACTGACATATCAACCATATTATTGTTAGAGTCTGCTCCTGTTTTTCCGTGATATGTTGCTTAACCAGATTATATTTTCAGGCTTCCGTGTACAAGATTTGCAGAGAAATGTATGACGATGGAGTGGGTTTACCTTTTCAAAGTCAGCCTGACCTTATTGGAGACAAGTATGTAATGAATATTTGGATTTGGGAGTAGAAATTTCATGGCCAGGTTTATCAGATTAAGAGGAGGTGATGCCTGGAAGTAAATTTAGTTTTAGTAAAATTTGAATTTAATATGTGTGCATTTCTCATTTCTTACATCAAATATAGCTTGTGTAAGTTGTCATTCAAGTACATCGGGCCTTTTATAACTGAATTGTAAATTTTTGTTAGTAACTTGTTAGCTTACTGCTGGCCTCTTTCCTTCTGTGCAGGTTAGTAGGGGGGCTACTTTCTCTGAGCCTGGATTACTGCTTTGTCCTAGAAGATGAAGATGGCATATGTGGGTATGCCCTGGGCACTGTAGATGTGACACCCTTTATTAAGAAATGTAAAATTTCCTGGATTCCCTTCATGCAGGAAAAGTATACCAAGCCAAACGGTGACAAAGAACTCTCTGAAGCTGAGGTAATATACAGGTTAAAAATTACACTATGATAATGGTCATATTTTGTTCTGTTTTTTAAATGACCTACTTATTAAAGTAGAAAAGTAAGCAGATGGGCTCGGCGCCTATAGCTCAACCGGCTAAGGCGCCAGCCACGTACACCTAAGGTGGCAGGTTCGAATCCCC